AATGATTACTTGGAAATGTATCAGCAGGGATAATGTCAAGTTTCTTTGCACATAACAAAAGAAATGGTCATGAGGATGCTGAATGTGTTAAGAGATTTTGAAGGAAGATGGAGAAAAGTAGGTTGAATGTGAGATATTAATGTTCACAATACTTTACTCTGTAATTCATGACATCCCATCTCCATGATATAAATACATGATTCGATAAAGAAAATTATTTCTCTTAGCCATTCTGTAAATTTTAATTGTTTTGACTTGAATGTAATTTAAGTGAGCAGAGGTCTGATAATCTGTAAGTCAGAAAATGGCTACAAGGAAATAGCTGCTATCTTCAGTCAGGAAACTGAAACTGTGAAGATCTAACATAATAGTGAGTAAGAGAGTTTGAAATGAACCACTGTTACGCAAAAAAATATGCTGCAACATTTTGAAAACGTTTTTATGAGTCAGTCTATGCTGTTTGTCTTTGATGGTAGAGAAACTCTTTTGCAAAACAGAAATACTTTTTAAACTGTCTTTACTTTCAGCACATTTAAGGTGCATTTACTGTAGTTGTTCACTTCTTTCAAGAACATACTGCAGATTTTATATCCATCACAATGTTCTCTCATTTAGTGAGCAATGTGATTGTGGAAGGCCAACGAGTCAAACCACTAACGGGAAACTCCCTGGCCTGCTGGGTATCGTTGTGGAGTCCATTTGAAAGTATAATCCACAGAGATTATACTGTGTGTCCTTGCACCAAACATGCAAACTGCTTTAAAAAGCTATTTTCAAAGTGTTAAGGAACTTTTAGAAATGAATATCTCAGACAAAACATTGTCTATATTGGTGAGCATGGTCATCTCCACAAAAGGTTCTGTGGTTTGAGTCTTATATGCAAGCCTTTCAGGAAGTGGGTGCACATTGTACCTGTATGTTTTCTCATTTTCATCACAGAGAACAAAAAAGCAGCACGTTTTTTGGTGTGAAGATAATTACAGAATTAGCTGACTAAAACTGGTAAGAAACATGTCTGAAGGTATTACCTGCAACGATTTTCACAGAAATAAGTTTTTATAGTAGTTTCAAGATCTAAGTTTAAGAATGTAACATTTTATTTTTAATGCATGGATGTCATATCTGCATTTTAAATATATATTTTTTTGTTATACTGTATCTAGATGTCTTTTTTTGTTTTTTAAATAGCTAGTCACATAAAAAAGCGTGCATGTGTTTGGTGCTACTGGAAACTTTGCAGTTGCTCTTCTCATCCTGGACAGGAAACCACATTATGTTCAGGTTTAAAAACTGCTTCACAGAGAGCCCACACAGCTTCTGCTAGTGCTCTCTTATTAAAAACATTTATGGAAGTAAATATTTGTATATTAATTAGCTGTTTAATTGTTTTTATCTTTTTGGATAAAAAGAAATACAGTGGGACATTCTTGAAAACATCTCATCCCAGAAAACAGTTTGTGGATATTTTAGACCAAGGTATCTTGGCCAGTATGTTTTTCTTTGCTTTACTTTGCAGTAGAGGCTGATTAACACCAGCACACTCATCAGGTAAACATACTATCAATACATAAATAAAGGTATTTTAAAGGACCAAACTGAAATGACCCAATCTTGGTTTACAGATCATCTTCAATGGATAAAATGACAAAGATGGTTACAAAATATTTAAAAAGGGTAGAAACAAAACAGTATGTCAAAAAAATCCTCACCTGGTTCTTTATTTGCACGCTAATGAACTGAGAATTTTTGTTGTACAAAAAATTGAAATACCTCCTTGTTCAAAGAGCAAACATGGCAGGAAATCCAAGTCCCTTATTGTAGTTTCCCATTTCATTTCATTCAGCAGATATAAATTGTTTTACTGTCCACATTTCAATCTTCTTGTTTGCTCTCCTTGGAAGAATTGTGAGATAACAGTACAGAACCTTGTTGGGAATGTGTTGGTTTGATAAACTTGCTCTGAAGGAAAACTCTGGGAACACAAAGCCCCTCTTTCTTATTGACTGTCTCTCTCAGGACATATTCATTAACCACAGACTGGAAGCCCGCCTCTTCAAACAGCTTAGCCAGGAACTCTGAAAACAGTTAAGGAAAACAGATTGTGACTTTAAGAGAAATCGATCACAAAGGACTGCTTGTTATACGCTATATTTGAGAAGCGTATAACTATGCATATCCATAGTTTAATGGATATGCATTCAAACACTACATATTCACATTGTATTTGGTCAATTAGAAGAATTTTTAATGTTGATGTCACACTTCAGATTTACTTTAGAGTCCAAGATGCTAAAGCTTAAGGGCAATGGAGAAAAAAAAAAGAAGTAAGGAACTGTTGGTTAATCACAAGAATATAGGCAAAGCAGACATCAAAATAAACAGCTGTGTATTTATTCAATTTATAAATAAGAAAATTAAATACATTTTATGTCTCTTAATAGGCTGTGTTGAAGAAAATACCTAAATTGAACTTTACTGACCTTTAGAGAAGAAGTAGGACCTTGTTCCATCTTGACGGACATAGAAGTTGTCCCCCAGCTTGCTGCCAGATTTAAACCGGAGCATAGCATGATCATAGAGGCCGTAATCCCTGAACAGGACGACACCGCCAGGCTTCAGGACCTGCAAGTAAGATTCAGATCATATTAGACAGGTCCATGTTGACCAAAAGCACACAGAGAGAATTCCACCAGAAAGTCAAATGATGTTTCCAAAAATGTTGGCATGCTGTATGCAAAGTACAGAAAGGAAAAATGTGCACTTAAATGAATGTTGTACAAACTAGCCTGGGACTTTAGCTTGTTAATCTTAATGGATTAATAACAGAAAAAAACACATTAAAAACATTGAATGCAATTAATTACAGAGAAGAATGTAAACAGATGTGCCATCTAGCCTAGTGTTTAAAGAAGTCAAAGATTCTGAATTGAAAACTTTGCTAAATGCTTCAAAATTTGCCCTTATAAAACTGCTATTAATCATTATTAATTATTACAAATCCAATGCCCCATCAACAGTACAAACACAACATCTTAAACTAAAAAACCTATTTGTGTCACTATGAAACCATCAATACGTTTTGCTTGTCCATCTCTGTTTTTACCTTGCCAATGTTCTCTAAAGCCACCTTCATCTTGTCAGGATGAACGGCCGACAGGACAAAGATGAGAGTGACAACGTCGACGCTGGCCTCTGGAACATTTTCCGTCAGATGGTCTTTCGTTAAATCACACTGGAACGCACAGCAGCGCTCGGGGCGGTACAGAGGATTTTTCTGTTTCAACAACACAAAACATATTACATACACAACCTTCAACTGATGCTTGGTTTGAATTACTCTCAAGCACAAGCTTTCAAAACTAAACTGCACTCTACTGATCAGAGCTGCTGATTGTAATTAATTCAATTTTTTTGACATCAACAATCAGTCTGCTTTCACTAAATCTTGAATCATGTTTGTCAATTTTTAGTTATTGTGCATTGAAAAAACAACTAAACTGTTAAATGTAGAATTGGGCTTCTGTAATTAATCAAAAGTAATTCAAAGATTCACAGGTTGAAATCTTACTTTGACAAATTCAACAGCTCGGGGTGAGAAATCACACGCATAAACAAAGATGCTGAGGTCTTCCTCCAGCAGAGGGAAGATGCAGTTTCCGACTCCACAGCCAGCCTCCAGCAGAACCAGCTTCTGGGACTCAAACTGAAAAGACGTCAGGAAAATTACAGCAGACTGTTAAATCACAATTTATTTACTATATGCATGTGCTGATATAAGTTCAAATTATGATAAATACAAAAACTTAGAGACAGCTCCAAAAATCCAACTTTGACAATGCTGTGGAGTTTGTTGTTTCTACTGTTTCTTCAAAAATGTATTTATAGTAGTGGGGAGCATTATTATATAAATGTAAGTAAGTAAAAATCCAGATAAAAATTACAGGGACAGAAAAATTTGTGTGGCTCACTTAAATGAGCCACACACATTTTTGGTCCCATCAATTTTCTAGATGTAAAGATTTCCCTCAAAACATCTTTCAAACATACAAAACCTATCACTTAACATGCTGATGGCTGCTTACGTCTTTAAACCCTGGCATTGTGTTGTACCACATTACCGAATGCTCTCAAGCTGCCAAATTCCTGCTTTTACAGTAAGTCGCATTTGATTGTAATCAGTTGATCAAGTTTATTTGAGTACTTTTTGAGAATTGTCTCGGTCTGCTAACCTCTCTACATGCTTGGAGCTCCTCAAACTCTCTGGTGGTCCAGTGTCTGTCTTTGAAGAAATTCGTCGTATTTCTTTTGTAAAACAAGTCCCAGTTTTTTTGAGCTTCTTTTTCAAGTTTCATCTGTTTGAAGTCGGACACCAGAGACCGCTCGCTGCTCAGTCTGTCCAGCTCCTCCTGGCTTAAATGTCTGGCTGTGGATGTTGTTTGTCCGCATGGAAACGTTTCATCTTTGGATTCCAATTTTACGCTTTGTGTAAGGTCAACTTCGCACTTTTCAACTGCTGTAAGTGACATGATACATTAAAAATGATTGGGTGCCTTGTCAACAAGTAACAAAAAATTTAAAAAGCTAACATCTAGTCATTTAAAACTAGAATATAATTTGCTCAACTTTTCCACCGTTCGACGCCATCTTGTTCGTTATTTTAACTCTACCGTGTGGAGTCAAAAATAGTAATTCCTTGTCCATTTCATTGGCACCACTGTCTTGACATAGATACAACTTCTCAGTAAACATTAAATAAAATGTGAGATGACTTTAATAAATTATTACGTTGAGATTCACGTTTGTTCATTAAAAAATTACTTACAACCAATTTTCGGAAGTATTTTACAGTGGAACCAAAACCGGAAGTGCGTTGTTGTTTTGCTAATAGTTAGCATCCGCAGGCTAACTTTTTCTTTATTTGGATTCTCTGTTTAACCCAATTGAAACAGCCAGATTTAAGTCGGCACTTCAGAGGATTTGACGCAAATGTAAGTTTTTAATCATTTCAAAGACACCGTCGACCATGAATGGCAGTACCAATCCGCTGCTGGATAAAGAGGAGCATGTTTTGAAGCTCGGAGAAAGCTTCGAGAAGAGGCCAAAATCTTCTTTTCACACCATCAGATGTGAGTGTTAGAGGCGCCGCTGTGTTTGTTTACAGTCACGATCAGAAGCGACGACTGAGCCGATCATTTCTAAATAATTACAACAGTGTCATTGTTTTTGTTACAAGTATCTTAAAATTCGATTGGGACAATATGGATATACTTTAAATTCATTCCAAAGTAGTACTTGGAAATGTTTGTAGAGTTTAAAATTCTTAATTTTATTTGAGTCAGAGGTTCTTAGTCATCGACAATCAAAGGTTAATAAAGACTAGGCATAGGAAAACAGAGTACAATTACTAAACAATAAGACATTTGTATTTGAAGACTTTATTATTCTTTATTCTACGTTTTTGTACTCAGGATAGGCATACAGTAGCTATGTTTACTTCTCTATCTACTTCCAAAGAGTTGTACATTTTGCCCGAAGAACCACAAACAAAGCCACAGACGTGATAATATTATTGGTAAAAACTACAATGAAGATATCGGTTTCCGAAGTTGCTCACTTTAATGTACTTTCAGCAATCTCTGTGACTTAATCTTAGGCCCTCTCACCTGTGTCAGGTGTGGGCTGTTAGTATTACTTAGACCTGGAAACCCAAACTTTTATATTTATGAAAATCCCAGAATGTTTTTTTTAAAAATAGAACATTCAGGATTTTAGATTTTTATCATTTAAAGAGGCATGGCTGATATGCCAAGATGGTGTTACAGTGGAGGGATGAAATAACATTTTATACATTATAATAACACTTTAAATTTTATTTCAAATTCAAATTTAAGGGTGCAACAATATATAAAGACTCTAAAGTAACAGTAAACATTTCTTGCTCCCTTTAGGAAAAATAATCATAATAATTTTGAGAACATTTTGTTGCCTCTTTTGTTGTAATTGTGTATTTATTCAACCATTTTCTCCACGTTAATGCTATGTAGCATTAACGTGTAAGTGGAGTGAACTAGAGACTACCTCAGCAGTCTGTAGCCCAGTATTTGAAGCAAATCAATCAAGTTTTATTAACTGACTTCAGTTCATAAACACACGGAAAGATAAAGCATTCATTCATTAATTTATTTGAGATGTAATTAAATAACTGAGATCTCATAAGTATTGTGGAGTTAAGCGCAGTAATGCCATGCCGTTTGGCTTGGTTGCATGTATATATACCACGTTTAATGGGATAAAGTTTAATTTAATGTTTCTGACTCTAGTCAGTGCAAATATTGAGGAGTTTCTGTTAACCAGTCTTGCATATACTGAAAACAACCAGGTCATCTGTATAAATAAGCATAATATTTTTAAATTACATAATTTGGCATGAAAGCTTTTAGAGGCACCAGTACATTACCTACACAACCTAAAGATTATTATAAACATACATATTAAGAACTCGCCAGACCCGTGATTAATGCCTCGATTTCTTTTTCAGATGACTTCAAACCAGCATCTATTGACACAAGTTGTGAAGGAGAGCTGCAAGTTGGGAAAGGAGATGAAGTTACCATTACACTACCTCACATTCCAGTAAGACTCTCAGAGGAGGGTGTGGCTCAAAGCAACTTTTACATTGCCAGTTAATCCAGCTTGACAATCCCTAAAACTCCAGTTTGACATATTGAGTAATGAGTAATGTCAGTCGTTACAGTTTATCTGTTAATTATGTGGCAACTTTACTATATAAATAAGTAAAGTGTTTCTGATTTGGTTAAAATGGGAGATACTGGTCAGCAGTTTCCTTATTAGTTGAAAAATAGTCATTGAGATCCATCTGTCTGTTACATATCTCTAAAAATACTTTTACTAATAAATATGTAGTTAGGGAAAAAAAAATAACAGAAAGTTAAAATCAAACTTGTCTTCCAGGGCTCCACGCCTCCTATGACAGTATTTAAGGGAAACAAGCGACCGTATCAGAAGGACTGCGTTCTCATCATTAACCATGACACGGGTGAATTCGTCCTGGAGAAGCTCAGCAGCAGCATCCAGGTGAAGAAAACAAGGTGAGGGGAAAATGCTTTAGACTTCAAGACAAACTAAACACAGTTTTTCACAAAACAATCTTAAAGGTCTAATATTAAGTATATCTGCTGTTTGTTTATGCTGCAGGGCAGAGGGGAGCAGTAAGATCCAGGCCCGAATTGAGCAGCAGTCAGTTCGCTCCAGCCAGCCTAGCTCTCAGTTCCGGGCCCCAACCAAACCCGGAACTGGGATCAAAACCTCGCCCTCCCAAACTAAGGACAACCCCTCTCCTGAGCCGCAGCTCGATGACATCAAGAGAGGTGAGGAGGTTCAGTTATTTAGATCAAACTTACTTGAGTGCTAAACATTAAAGGGGCAGTATTATGTATTTACAAAGTGCCATGTCATAGCACAACCAAGTAACCAAGTTACCTTCAGTTGTTATACAAATTTCTATATATATTAAATATAACTTAGAAGAAAATTGACTTTGTAATTTAACATTTGACATTGAGTGGAAGCTTGGAAGCTTGTAAACTGCAGCTCAGAGGCGGCGCTAGGTTAATCGAGGCGTTTTGCACAACTGAATGGTTGCCATGGTAATTAAATGATTTCTCAAACATGTACCAAAGAATCAACTCAACACTCCAGGTAGGTTTTTGATGTGACGTGAAGCTCAAAGAAGGTAATTTTACTTAATACTGCTCCTTTAAGAGGCTAAAGATGAGCTTTAGAAGGTTTGACTTGGATCAGTTTGAAGGGGGAAGGAACCGTAAGCACGCTGACTCCATTCCGACAGAGCTGAGAGCGGAGGTGGAGGTTATAGAGCAGATGAGCAGCAGCGGCAGCAGCAGCTCCTCGGACTCAGCCAGCGCCTCGGGGAGCGGCGACGACAGCAGCAGCAGTGACGGCGAGAACGACGCACCGCGACCGCTCAGCCAGACCTCGCCCAGCCGCCTCCCTGTGGCCAACGGAGGAGTCGACCGGCAGCAGGGCAACAACCAGCTCATGAACACACTCCGTGAGTTTCTGATTACCGTTAGCTTCGAAGGGTCTCCAGGAAACAGTTTCTCATCTGTTTTCTTTGCAGGAAACGATCTTCAGCTCAGCGAGTCAGGCAGCGACAGCGACGACGACTGAACTCTTCGGGTCAGCCTCGCCTCCCTCACGCTCCTTCTTCTCATCTTCCTCTTTTCTGCCTGATCCATTTGTTTCTTTGCTGTGATAACTGACTCCATCCTTATGTTGCAGTGTGACTGTATTTTAAAAGTTTTATTTTGGTATTTTCTTATAGATGGCCACCCAGACACATTAGGAGTTTATTTTTATTAGATGTATATTTTGCTTTGGAAGAGTTTTACCTGAGAGTGATGGAAGATTATATCTAGAGCATCCATGCATATTTTAAGTACTAAAAGAAGCTAGTTTTATCAGCCAAATACTTTTATTTTTATTAAGTTTTGTTTGTATCTTAAAATTAACAAGATAAAGGTTTCAGTCGGAACCACCCACATGTTCACCCCGTATGTCAGACAAAGCTGTGGACATCCTCTCTTTATGTTGTTGTCATTAGCACTTCTTTAAGCATGAATCAAACTTATGCATTCGCTTTCTTTAAATACTAAAAAATACTGTACTGCAAAAACAGTATCAATAACCTTTTAGCTATTTTACATTTGATTCTTTAGTGGCTACTTAGCACTACATAAAACAAGAGAAAACTGAATTTTACCTGCCCTATTTTTCAAAAAAAGATTCTAATGACTTTTCATTAATTATATAGAAAGTGAGGATGTTAACAATTGGTATAAAAGCTGCTCATACAAGATCCTTACGATAATAGATGAGTAACATCTTGGACGATGTTCTTTTCCCCCGCCACAAGATGGCAGACAAGATTCAAAATTAAAACAGAAACCTGCTCAATGAAGGACATTCACTTAGTAGGTTTATTTGTAATACCAAAAAAATGGGTTCTTTCAAACTTGGTTTGGTTTCTCTGGAAGGTAATGTTATGGTTTGTTTGTGCTGGACCTTTATTTACCCTAACTGTTACTCATGTTAATCTTTCTCAAATAGCAACAGATGTAGATTAGAAAATGAAGAAAGTCAACCACTGTGTATTTGAAACTGGATAACCAAAAGAAGAAATGAAAGAGGAAAATGTTACAATTTCCAGTTCAGTTGCAGCGCAGCTCTTTTGTTGATTGCAGACGGTGTTACTATCTGAGAGCCGCGTGTACTGTGTCTACCCTTCAGCTTACAGACACATACCGATTTTCTCATTAATGTTTGATTTTATATATTATTTTTGGTCTTAATGTCAGGTACTTAAAGCATCATCTCTGTGTTTCAGAGATTTGACTTTATTAGTCAGCCCTCCTGAGCCAATCATTGAGGCAGTTATTTAAAACTATATAAGGGCTCTACATTATAGGAGACTTGAAACCAAAAAAAAGCTCATAGGATAACTTTTATTTGTTTCAGACATGTGTTGTTTGTTTGACCCAGAAATAAGGCCACAGGACCTTTAAATGCTTTACAGAATTTTAGCTTAGTAACAAAGGTAAATGTATTATACTCAGAAAATGCCAAAGAATAGAACTCGCCTAGAGAAAGACAATGAGGATTGTTGATTGTGTTCAGTTTACAGTTTTACAGTCTCTCTGTGCAAACAGTATAATTGGTTACTTTGTTGTTTTTTTAACTTAACTGCAAACATTTTTGTGTTTGGTATTATTATTTAGAGTTACTAATAAAGAAAAGTTTCAGTATTAAAATAACTAGGCCTAAGTATAAAATAGTTTTTGTGAAAGATGTCATAGAGAACAAAACTTTTTTATTATTACAGAGTGACTAATAATTACATTTGGAAAGTTGTAGAAAGTTTTAGATCACATTTAAAATGACTTTACATACAAAATAGACTGTTTTACACTTTGTCAAAAACTGACTTTATTCTGTTCTTGTGAAAATGAATGCTCCACTGCTCCAGTTCTGACCTGCATTATTGGGAGCAAAACAGCATCCAGACATACACTCCCAGCCTCTTGGTCCCAAACTTAAAGTAAACACCAGACTGGAGAAGTACAGCTAACAGAAATTTGAGTGAATATACTTTTACATCATTAAGGTTCATAATATCAGATTTCATCTCTCTCTTTTTTTTACTGTTTTATGCTCCAATTTGTCTACATTAGTTGCAGAATCATTACAAATGCATGCTGTAGCAGTAAATGACAATAAATTGGCATCTTCCCTTTTATTTAAAAGAAGCTGGAAGGTGTTTTTCGCTGGCGGTGATAAAATATAGTGTATCCTCTAATTTGCAACCCGGGGTTTTGTCTTTCTTCTTCGTGAATCACAAAACAATCCCAGTTCAGTAAGTTAAAGGATTATTCCACTTTTTTTTTTTTTCTCGACTTGGGCTTGGATATATAAGCTAGATTTATTTCTCTAATTTGTCCTCTATGGAGATTTTACTTACATTCATTGTTTTTAAATCAACCTTTTTTACGTGTGATCCTTAGGAGTAAATTCAGTTTTGGTAAAACCACAGCCAGAGTTGTATATAAAAAGTTTGCTCAAATAAATCTCGTTTGAGTTTAATTTCCCACATTTACAAAAAAAAGCCCAGGCATTATGTTGTAAATTTGCAACAAAAAAACTAAATCCATGATTAATGGAATATATTTACAAAACTAAGATGTTGTAAAGCCAAATTTATTGATTGTTCTGATGCAGTATGAGCCTGGATGTGCCCCATTTTGTTGCAAATGTCTGACTTTATAATCTCAGTAAACTTTTGAGTTTATTTTCTAACATTATGATGTCAGAAAGTATGTTAGTCTTAAAATCATTAATGTATGTCCTTAATGATTTTTTTTTTTTGCAAATTTATGACATTTCAACATTGTAGAATATCAAAATTTTTTTGTAAATGTGTAAAATTATGCCTGAAATTTTACACTTTTTTTTTCTCTTTAATTCACAATGGCTTAATGCTCATTCATATGGTTCAGTTGCCATACAAGTTATTTAGCGGAACCTGGTAGCAACTGGGATCATTTTGTGTTTGAACATCTGAAGTGACAGAAGGCAGAAAGAGAAATTAAGTATGTTTAAATTAGAAGGCTAAGCAGGTGGATGATCTCATTTGTTCTAAGCATTAAAACTTAAACAAGCTTTTTAGAAGATAAACTCATGTCACCTTCAACAAGGCTAGCATTTCGAAGATCAAAAAATGAATTTAAATAATGAATTTTGTTCTGTGTCCATATGAAACATATCAGCATCAAATATGGGTGAATGTGTTTATAGATCCAGTTTTAAGTATCTGCAACCTAACTGGACATATGCTGCATTTATTTTCTGTCTGAAGCCGAGGCTGGGAATAATCATAAATATGTAGAGCTCATTCTGAGCTGGAAAATGAGAGGCTTAGCTATTTGTTTTGGTGCTCAGTACTATGCGCAATACAAGCCTATAACTATATGTTTCTCTCCATTTTATGCATGAAAACACAAAAGGAACATGTTTACAGCTCTATGCCGAATGTAGACTGGAAATAATGACTTCCAGCTTAAACGCACATTCTTCCGTTTTCCACGACCACGGACTTAGAAAATCCAACTTCGGAGTGCAAAGAGAAAGCAAATAACCTACCTAGCTAAAGTAACTAAACAAACTAAATTGTCAACTTTCTAATATCCAAGGAAATGTTAGTGTTGCTTAGTTTATTTTTAGGCATCTGGTAAATGTGTAAGGATCGATTGTTGATTTAATGAACTCCAAAAAGAAACCAACACATTTTTTTTATTCTGTTGTTTCCCATAGAAACTGTAAAAGTGTGCAGTTGTTTTACTTACTGTGTTGTATTTGTTATTTTAGTTTTTTGTGCGTCTTGGAAATGTATTTATGTGAAATTTGGATTGTATTAAGTTTGCAAATTTCAGTAAAATAGTTTCCCACATTCACAGTGAGAATTCTGTTTCGACTGTGTCAGTGTGTGTACTGATGTATTTCCCCCCTTACAAATTTCAGTAACACTTTATTTGAAGGGGGTTGAATAAGACTGTCATGAATATTTATGACTGTTGTCATAAAGCGTCATTCGGTAAATTATGACACTTTTAATACAAAGTTGACATTATTCAAAATGTCTTTATGACAACTTGACATTAACCAGGAAATCATTACTGTTTAAACTTTACCTTTAATAACATAAAGTTACCTAATTTTTAAAGTGCAATCAGTAATACTTTTATAACAAATTTATATCAGTAATGATTTCTTGGTTAATGTCAAGTTGTCATAAAGACATTTTGAATAATGTCAACTTTGTATTAAAAGTGTCATAATTTACCAAATGAAACTTTATGACAACAGTCATAAATATTCATGAAGGCTTATTCATGTTCATGACATGTGTTTATGACAGTGTCATGACAGTCTTATTCAACCCCCTTCAAATAAAGTGTTACCCAAATTTCTTCTATTTCTTTTTTGTCACACTGAAATGTTTTAGATCATAAAACACCTTTTAAGACAACACAAACATAACCTGAGCAAATGCAAAAAGCAATTTTCATATCATTTTGATGTAATTTATTACAGGAAATATTATTCAAACCAGTATGGCCTTGTGGGAAAAAGTAATTGTTCTCCCTGATAAATCATGAATTAACTTTGATTAAACACATTATTTGGAAGGCTGAGTTTAATTTCACTAGCCTCATCCAGGCCTGATTACTCTCAGATGTATAGAATAAAGCAGGGGTGGCCAAGTCCAGTCCTCGAGAGCCACCATCCTGCAAGTTTCAGATGCATCCCTGCTTCAACACACCTGAATCAAATGACTGGCTCGTTATCAGGCCTCTGTAGAGCTGATCCCGGTCTGTTGGAGTAAGGATACTTCTAAAACTTGCAGGATGGTGGCTCTCGAGGACTGGACTTGGCCACCCCTGGAATAAAGAAATGACTTAAACAGCACCTGTTTGACAACATGAAGTAGGCTAAAAGAAAGCAGTAGATGACAAATAGTTAATGAAATCAGTCAGGAAAAGGTTACCAAGCAGTTTCTAACGTTTTAGAACTCCAGTTAGTCACGGTGGGAATCATTTTCTATATGGAAAAAAAAAAAAAAAAGACCAATGTTGAACCTTCCCAGAAGAGGCCAGCAAACTCAAACTACTCCGAGAGAGCTTCAGTGACTCATCTAGGAGGTTGCAGAAGAGCCCAGAGCATCTGAAGGGCTGCATCAATCAGAGAAGTCAAAATTACAAACCACTGCTGAGATAAAAGTTTCACATGTACAAAAAACATCTTGATGATCTAAATGTTTCCGAAAAAAAAGTTGTTGACTGACTAGACAAATGTTTAAGATTAAAATAAGTGAATCAAACCCTCCAGCAAGTCCAAAACTGAAACCCTACACAAAAAAGAGAGATGCTGTGGCATAACTTTAAACAGGCTTTTCATGTTTAAAAGATTCTTCACTGGCTGAATTAAAACAATCCTTCAAGGAAGAGAAGAAGAGTGGGCCAAAATTCCTCTACAAGGGAAACAACTCATTTTCAGTTATCACTGATACCTGAAGTCAGTTGTTACTTTTAGGACGCACTTACTTTTACACTTAGGACCAAGTTGGTATTGAATGTATTTTTCTGCTTAATAATGAGAAAATCATTTTAAAATTACTTTTTTAAAATTTCTTTGCACTGAAATTTTAATGTTTAATATGAACCATTTAAAGCAAAAAAAAAAACAACAAAAAAACAAGAGATCATTAAAGGGGCAACACCTTTTTTACGGCGCTGTGTATATCACATTAATCCAGAATCGATTGGACAGCATAAAAATATCTTAAGAATGAAATCCATACAATGAATAATTAGATACATTTCTGTAAATAAAAACTAACTTTCCACATATTATTTTGTATATATTTAATAATTTAGGCAGGTTTATATATAAAGGTACGAAAATACAATTTATCTAATATTTGTTCTTTGTTGCTTTTTGCTATTTCTGTATTAGGTGCAGAAGTAGCAGACAAAACAAAATATAGAAAAAATAATTTTTAAATATCTACAAAAAGCAATTAAATTCTCACAATATTTGAAAATAACATTTTGCACTTTTTATGCTTCTAATTTGTTCATTTTTACCTCTACTACTTTATCTATATTCAGCTACATTTTTTAACAGATTGATTTGCTTTTTATTTTTGACTCCTTTGTCACTCCCTATAATGTTGCTCCTAGTATTGTAATTTTCTTGTATATTTGATTCCAGTTTGACTTTTTGTAGTATAAACATTTCTAACATCAGTCCAATTCTTCCCTGTTTAAATATAGAAATATACTTCAATATTCATTTACTATAAAGAGCAGAGACAGTAGTCAAAAAGGAACTTCGAAACAAAGGATATATTGCTGGTCTTAAATAATTATCGTCAAGTGAAACATATGTTTACATGAACACCTTCAGGTTTTATACTATCCACAACAAACTGTACACGGAGCTTTAATACAATACAGTACTTATTCCCTGCAATGGTGCAATAAATGAGTCACATTTGGGCATTTTTCTTCAAACAGTAACACAAAAGTACACAACAAATACATAAATAGCTTTTTGTTTCCCTTTGAATCAAACAAAACAATTAGATTTCTTGGTTCTGGCTCTTGCTACAACATGTCAATGAAGGATATATAAATTAACATCAACAACACATAATAATTAGAGCAATAATAACATAAAAGCTGTTTTGTCTTTTATATGAATCTGGTAAGCTTACAGTATGCACTGATGGAATAGAGATCAGCCGGGCAGTTTGATATGATGCATCAGAAAGTTTCTCAGTAATGCACAAATCCGTATACCCAGTGTCTCCAACTTAAGTCTCTGCAAGGAGGCACCTGATTGGCTCTGAGACGAATCCTCTGGCCCAAGCAGCTTCTCAAAGGCCCAAACCTGAACGGTCCTCAGATGGTACCCTGAGTTTTTTCTTGATATTTAGTTTTTCTTCTAAAAATGTCAGTACTTGGCATCAGAAGAGGCACAAGAACATCTGAGACGTGTCAGTCTGTCCCCCGTTTTTTGTTTCTCTTGAGTTGAAAGTCACTGCAGCACATTTCTTTGCAACATTATGGACCCTGAGTACCATGGTGCATTAGATTGGTAGGCCTGAACCCATTAGCGTCCTTAGCGCTCTTTTTGTTAGCTTGGTCCTCTAGTTTGGACACTACAGACGAGTCTCCCTAAATTAGCCCCTCCCACTCAGTCAGAGGTTAACAAGGGTCACCGTCCAGGGCAGGACGTGGGTTTGATGCAGCGTCCCTGGAACAGCACCAGATTGGCGGGGCAGTGGCAGCCGGCCACGCAGGGTTTATGGCACGGTCCGATCTCATTCCAGTTGTCGCAGGTTTTAATACATCCAGGACCGCAGGTGTCATAGACTGCGTCATGTTTACACTGGGTGGCTGGGAGAAAGAAGTTGAAAAAAAGAGAAAATCAGGACTTAAAGCATGAAAACTAGATGTAACAAATGTCTCTTAGCCTCATGCTTTATTTTTAAGCACAAACACACTCGGTACGTAAAAAGCAACATATAAACCAGGTTGTTTTGTTAGCAAATCCATACAGTTAAATGCCAAATTCTTTATACTAGTTTTATGACAAGATGCATAAATTTTATTTGGGATAGACCAAACTTGCTATTTTTCTCTCACTTTGAGGATACATCTACTGTAAACACATAAACTATTCAACACCCTTCAGGTGAAAGTAAATCAGAAAGACCAGTATTTAGATCTCAAGGCATCTCTATTGTGTTTCCTCTGCTATGTATTAGTCTATGGGACTGGTGATGAGTCACAAACACTAACCCATGCAGACGTTGTCAGGCTTCCACTGTACTGGCACTCCTTCCCTCTCACAGGCTCTGCTGTAGGCAATGAAAGACTCACAGTAGCAGTTTTTATGGACCGGGCACTCACACATGTCTGTCACACATGACCTGCAAAGAGCACAATATCATTTAGTGTAGAACGGCTTCACTTTCACAACATTAAGTCTGAATTTTGTCAGATAGTCTTTAAAGTAAGATTTTTAAATACAATTAAGATTCCTATATCTTCAAAGAATTTGGGAATGGCCAGATGACTGTCATTGCTTTGTAAGCTTCTAACAGGTTGGTTTACACTTTTTGTTACATCAAGACACACCTCAAACACACTGATTGATTTATTAAAAAGTAGCACAAAAGGACAAAGACTCTTATCACATGCTTAATCAGTGACAAAGGGCTTGTCGACAAAACAGTCAATTCCACAAAAAAAACAAAAACAATCTTGTTTCTACCTGTAGAACGGCCC